TAAGAACCAGGAGAGATTATGTAAAGGTGCAAATTTCCAATGATGAATGTCATTATATTGTATACCCAAAATGTATCAATAAAATAAAATTTAAAAAAATAAATAAATTATCCAGTCAAGATTAAAATCTTGAAAATGTACAAGATACTTCACTGCAGCAGTTTTGCGGAAGACAGACTGGGGACTTTCCATAGCAGAAGAAAGCCTTTGTCTCCTGCATCTCGGGGACGTAGGAAACAGGAAGCAGAAGCAAAAGTACCCAGCGTGCTTGGAGTACGGGATCTTGGAAGTACAAGTGCTCAAGACTCTGTGCCGTACACACTGCAGGGGGAGCAGTTGCAGACAGACCTGTCCTCAGCGGTATACGGGCTCTGATACCCACTGCTGAGCTACCACCGCCAAGGACCCTCCTACCCAGCATGCACCGCCCTTCACTTGCTAAATGGTCGGTTGTCTCTAACTTAAAAAAGCAGGGAGTGCTTCCGCAGTATGCTACAATTTGAATAAGGTTTGAGTTTGTCTCCTAAATCCCATGTGCTGGAAGCTTAGTCCTCACTGTTCTGGTGCAAAGGTTGCAGAACTTTCAGCAGGTGGGTTTGGTGGAAGATAATCAGATCATGGCGACAGCACCTGCAGAAGGATAAACGCTGGTTTCTCATGGTGGATTAGTGGATTGTTATAAAGCCAGCATGTGTGGCCCCTCAGCATGCAGCCAATTTCCTTTTCTGCTTCTCTGCCATGTTGTGACAGTCAGAAAGCCCTTGCCAGGATGCTAGGGCCATGCCCTCAGGCCACCAGAAACATGAGTCCAATAAACTTCTTTATAAGTTACTTAGCCTCTGGTATTTTGTTATTGCAACACAAAATGAACTAAGACACACTGTCATATCTGGCGTATAGTTGGTGTTCACAATTTCTTTTAAAAGCACAAGATATTTAAGTATGTCTCAAGGGAGAAATTTACAAGATTGATGGCAATATTTAAAAAAAAAAAAAAGGCCCAGGTCACCATCCTCAGCTTCCACCCTGAACCGAGTTTTGAAATAGGAGTGCAAGTTAGCTGGAGGAAGAAGAAAGAAGCATTTGAACCACACCTGCATGGCCAAGAGGCTGGGAAAGTGCATCCACTTCGGGAACTCAGGCCAGAAGTGGGGGGCCAGGGAAGAAGGGGAGTCCCAGAGCAAATGCTCATGCCTGAGTTTCAGATCACCCCCTAGGTGAATGAATTGGAGCGAGGCCAGACTGGGAGCAGGGAGAAGGATTTTGAGAAATTTCCTGAAATCCAGGAAGGAGATGATGAGAGCCTGGACCAAGGTGATGTTGGCGCACATCTAAGAGACACAAGGTTTCAGGAGAGCAGTGAACTAGGAAACAGGACCCCCATGGATGGTGACTGGACAGGGCCCAGCCCACAGGTGTCTGCATTGTCCCCTGTTGACCTCCTATCCTCACACAATTGGGAAGAGGGAGGCTGTGCCAGGCATGGTGCTGGGTGCTTTCTGTAGCTCAGCAAAGCCTCTCAGCATCGGCCTGAAGGTGTAGTATCACCCCCACTTTACAGATTGGGAACCCAGGGCACTGGAACCACCTGACTCCAACTCTGAACAGTGTAGCATCATCCACAAATGCCCTGAGGACTCAGGAGCCAGCTTCACTGCAGCTCTGAGATCCCAGCTAACTCCTCACTCTCTGGTTAAACATAATACTTCTCCTGTCCCACTCACCTCGTTGCCAGAAAGGTGGTACATCCTGGCTTCCTGGAGCAGCGAGAAGACCTCTGGGCACTGCCTGATGAGAGGATCAGCCTCCACCACATCCACAAAGTACCACTGGTCCAGAAGTGGCAAGCGAACGTTCTCCAGGATGCAGGGCAGCAGGCAGAGTCGCTCTGACTGTTTGTGCCTCACCCATCTCATCACCGTCTCGAACACCTGAGCCTCCTCCGTCACATACAGGTCATCGCTCTTCAAGATGTGGTACAGAGTGTCCACAGGAAGTTCAAGGAACTCCTCAGAGTTCAGAATCTGCACAAAGTTCTGAATGATGTAACTCTGAACCTGCTTCTTGAGGGAGTCCAGGGAGTGCGTGTCTGCCAGCCTCAGGATGCCCACACAGTTCTCCGGGTTCAGGGCTTCCGTGAGGAAGCTGGCACAGGCATCCACCATCCGCAGGAACTAAGGGGAAAAAAGGGCGGCAAATCAGGCCCAAGAGTGACGAGACCACAGGGATGTTTGTCACTGAGCTGTGTGTAGTCGCATAAAATTAGAAACAACTTACATGTCCAACATAGGAGCCTGGCTACATGCTATAAAAGAATATTACTGTGGAAAATGTTCATAATGCACTGAGCTTTTAAAAATCCACTGAGGGCTGGGGATTTAGCTCAGTGGTTCTGTCACCTGCCTTGCACGTGCAAGGACCCGAGTTCGATCCCCGGTACCAATAAATAAATAAATAAATAAACAAACAAATAAATAAAATAAAAATCCACTGACTCAGCCTCTAGGCTTATTTAGTTTTTTATTCTACAGGGCTAGGGATTGAATGAACCCAGGGCATTGAACATGTCAGGGAAATAAGCTACTACTGATCTACAGCCCCAGCACAAGCTTGTAGATTTAACCAGCAGTTTACAGGAAATACAAAGGGAAATTGGAGCATGTTAATTAAATGACTCTTCAGAAATACAATCAACAAAATCCAGACTGTGAGAAACTTCACAGAACAACTGATTCAGTGTCTTTAACAAATGCATTACAAGGGCGAGAGAGAGAGAGAGAGAGAGAGAGAGAGAGAGAGAGAGACCTAAAGATAAGAGATGCAAGGGCTGGGGTATAGCTCAGTGGTAGAGCACTTGGCTAGCGTGTGTAAGACCTCGAGTTCCAATACCAGCAATACACAAAGGGGAGAGAAAGTGAAAATGCACACAAGAGAGAGAGAGAGAGAGAGAGGAGAGAGAGAGAGAGTTAAGAGACATTATTGACCTACTAGAAAATATGAAATATGGGCCTTATTTGGATCCCTGATTTAAACAAAAAAATATTGTCAGAAAAATGTTTACAATGGCCTTATTCAGTGATATGAAGTAATTGATATTAATTTTAGGTGCCATAATGGTCTTGTTATATTTCAGGAGAATTCTTACCTTTTAAATATGTACACTGAAATAGTTACAGATGAGATGAAGAAAATCAAATGTATACTATAAGCCTATTTTTACAAAGAAAAAATATACAGAAGAAAAGATTGAAGGATATGGACCAATATATGAACAGTTGTCTCTGTGTGCCTGGCATCCAGGGGCAGATCTCGCTGCGACCACAAGCAACCTTCACATTTTGAGCTCACATCAGAGAACACTTATCCAAATCCACATTCCATGTCCTTCATGGACTCTTCACCCCTGGACTCAGGATGAAGGAAAAGCCCTCACCTGAGATGGGCTGGCCTTGTAACAGAGGGGACGAAAGATGGCAGCGCCACACAGCCTCTGAAAACTTCAAAGGTGGCTCCTTGCCATTCCGATTCACACTTAACTGGCCAGAGGGAATCATATGGCAAAATTTGTCACCAATGGAACAACAGTCTTTGCACAGAAAATGGTCCCACCGAGATGGGAGGGAATACACTATAGACACACGGTAACAGAGTAATGAACTCTCCAATAAGACCATAAGAGTTTTTCTATCTTTACTAATTTATTTCTATACCCCCTAAAAAGAGTTAGCATCACTTTTGTAATTAAAAAATTAATGTGTAAAATTACTGAGCAGCTCCCATGTCCCACTTTTATATTATCATCGTACTCACAAGGGACTCATGTCCCTCATGCTCAGATAGCGTTGTGCAGATTACAAAGCACAGTCAAATCCACTATATTAGGAAAAGCCACTTTCCACAGGCAGCGTCTCAAGTGCACCATTGCCTGTTCACATCGTTGCAGTGGAGAAGCCCCATCTCCTGTCCCCTCTTTGCCTACTGGGGCCACAGGGCCAAGGGCTTGGTGTGCTTGAGCTGACCAGGAAAAGGAGAGGCTGAAGAGAAGAAACTGGCACTGTTGGATGGTTTCCTAAGGGCAACGTTCCTGGGGCCATGCTGCCCTTGTCCGTGTCCACAAAGGACACGAAATATGAATTTGGAGAAGTATTCTCTGATGTGAGCCCAGGACACAAAGGCTGTTTCATACTGCAGCAAGATCTGCCCAGGATGCCAGGCACACAGAGGGATAACAACTGTTCATATTTTGCTGAGAGGATGGGCAGGACAGCATGCAGAAGAGAGGCTCTGGTGACAGGAGGGGGACACAGGGGCCGTGGAGCCTCAGAGGCAGAGGGTTGGCTGGGTTGGTCTTAGCTAGACTGAGTTGACTGGGGTTCAGCCTTCACTCCAAAGCGTCCTATGGGCACACATCCAAACTTGCTGCATGGAACCCCACCATGAAATATCTTTCCACATCAGCCCACAGCTTCCCTCTGTCCCTTAGGCCCTATGGGCCCATGCAAAGTTGGAGAGAGCCTGGCTTCAGCCCCAGCTCTCCATATTGCGGCTCCAACTGCCTGCAGCCGGGCTCCTCGCTTGAGCAACTGTGGAAACGGTTGAGAGTGAGAACCCTAACACCTGTGTAGTTGTTTGCAGATTTTCAGTTCAGCGAATAAAAATACACAACTGAAGCCAAGCGTCACTGAGCCCTCAGAAACTGGCAGCCTCCAGAGCCCTCTCTGGCCTGCCGGGGAGACATCTATGAGTGGGAAAAGAAAACTCAGATGGTGGCCTCTGGAGCAAAATGCCACACCCACCACACTAGCTTGTGTGGGAAGAAGGTGGTACGAACATTGAATGGGTATTTTTAATACTTCTCTCTCTGGCAGGCTGCTCAAGGCCTGGGAACAGTGGTTGCTCTAGGAAAGGCAACCCATGACTAGGGTAGGGTAAAAGGGAGAATTACTTTTCACTCTTTACTCTTTTGTACCCTCTCCAATTGTGTGTAAGAATTACTGTCTTTAAAAACAGATGAGCTTTCTCAAGAACAAAGAACATACTAGAAGGTAACATATAAAATGCTAATAACCATTATAAATAATTTTTTTCTTTGGTACCAGGGATCGAACTTGGGACCTTCCACTTGCAAGGCAGGTGCCAGAACCACTGGGCTAAATCCCCAGCCCTACAAATAATTTTTAAAGACCTTGTCATATACACAAGGTTTTCTACACTGAACATTAATATTTTAAAAACAGGGAGAACATATAAAACAAATATTTTCTTATGATTTTAAAGTATACAATGAGAAAGTAAAATCAAATATATAAAATACAACAAAGGACACTTATTATGTGCCAAATTTCTTGTATTGCTAACTGAGTTATTCAATCATCAAACTACAATGAAGTAGATATTTATGATCATTCCTCTTTTCCAGATGAAGAAACCAGATTGTGAGGAGTAATTTCCCTGAGACTCACAGCTAATAAGAGATAGAGCTCAATTTCGAACTAATCTTCTCTGACCCAAAAAATGTGTGTTTTTCACATTATTCTGAACTGTTTCAGGTCAAATAGTGTAGGGCTGTGGGGAGCAGACGCTACACCAGCAAGCTCAGTATCTGATCTACCCAGATGCCTGAAGGTCTGGCCAGGAAGATGCCAGTACCTGATGAACAAAGAAGAAAGCCACAGAGAGAATCAAATCAAGGACCAAAGTTCATAGTTGATAGAAACATTAATCCAAGTTTGTCTCTCTCCTCTCAGAAACTGTTGATTCGTCCATTCATGCCCCCATTCATGAACCAACCTGCACCGAGCATCCCACTGTCCACTGGTGCTGGAGCCTAGAGGTGGACAGGAGACAGCGCCTGGGACATTGGAGCTGACCAGCCAGGGGGAGGCAGACACTAACCAAATCATCACGCAGAGTGTAAGATTATAACTGTGATCAATGCTATGTACTGAAGACCCGAGATTCCCCGGCCTGAGACCAAAGTCAGTCATACTCCGAGCCCTCAAGCCACCCACAGTCAGCTCAGTTGGCGCCAGAGCCTCTTACGGAGCCCCAGCCACAAGCAGCTCCATCTCCCCTCCTTCTCCAAACACTCCCTGTTGGACCTTTCTATGCTCACGCCAACTCCTAGGTGTGCAACCCTTCTCTCTCATCGCCAGCTGTTAAGTCCTACACCTGTCACCCCAACAAACTTGATGCCAGAGCCAACTGTTTAAGGAATGACTAGGGATAGTTCATCCCATTTTCAACCACAAAGTCCCCTTAAAGTCTACCCAAGACAGGAGAAAGAGCAAATATCATGCCCATCACTGCATCTACATAGGGCTGTTTTCTTCGCCACAGTTGTTCAATCTGGGACCCACAAATGGGCTCCAGAGTCTGTGAGCCTCAAGCGTGTCCAAACCTTTGTTTGCACACCAGGGCATTTTTCTGAGAATTGAGCTTGCAGGATACACTGAGTCACTTCCTGGTATCCATTCCTGTAGGAACAAAGCAGAGAGAGAGAGAGAGAGAGAATTGAATCCTGGTCAGACTGGGTTTGGAAATGTCCCCATCTCTGGACTTTGAAATTCTGTGCCAATAATTGTGTAAGAAAAAAAGAAGGGAAATGGAAACAGAGGGATGGAAAAGTAGAGAAATCCTTTCTATCCATGAAGTTTTTTTTCCCCTCAAAGCCACTTACTTCCTGCTTGATTGCTCTCCAAGCCCCCAACATGGGATCAATTCCTCCCCTGCTAGTGCCCACTGGGCAGCTCGCTTGGCCCTTTCCTGAAGCAGCTGTGATATTTCTGCCTTGTGCTATGGTCAGCAGAGATGAGCATCTCAGAGGCAGGTTCTAGGTCACACTTGTGTTTTTATTTCCAGTGACATCAGACACAAAGCCTGACAAAAGAACAGAAAGGAGGGAAGGAGAGATAGAGGAAGGAAATATTTATCAGATACCTAGTTAGGATTGAGATCTCTTTTCCATCCATTATTTCATCTGACAAGTACATTTTATTTTTTTTGACTAATAAATTTTAACAACTCAAAAAAGAAAGGTGGGCCTGGGGATTTAGCTCAGTGGTTCTGACACTTGTCTTGCAAGCACAAGGACCTGAGTTCAATCCCCGGTACCAAAAAAAAAAAAGAAAGGTGTTAGTATTACAACTCACATAGAGGAAGAAATGGAGAATTC